GAGGCCCCGGCACTGGCCATTCTGCTTCCACTTGCACAAGCCTCTCCTCTGAGCTCCTGGGGTCTAATGACCCGACACCTTGCCTATGTTCCCCTGCCCCCCGCCCCACTACCCTTGCAATACCTCAGCGTCTTCCTCTTCTGGCTTTTACAGTTCCCCCTTACCTGATTAACCATTTCCTCATACTAAATTATCTTTGTCAAAATAACTGCTGTAGTTTCTGCTTTCCTGGCTGGACCTTGACAGATAGAGTACTTTGTACCAAGAGTGGTCCCAGGAAACAGACCCTCGAAGAGGGGATTCTGGGGCTGACTTAGCCACATCCTCATGCTTGACTGTGGTGCCCATGGGGTGTGGAACAGAGGCAAGGGTGTGCTAGGCTCGGACCAGCTCGCAGAAGCCAATGGTGCATCTCTTTTTACTCTGTGTTCCACGATGTTCCATAGGTGGCTTAAAATCGGTCATGGTGGGAGTGTTTGCATCCCAGAAATCTGCCCAAACTACAAATCAGTTATTGTTATCCCAGAGAGTCAGTTTAGCATCCAGCGTGGGTTACAAGTAATCTACAAGTAATATGCAGTGGCATCACTACTGCTTGCCTTCACATCTGCATCTGACTGTGATATAGTGCCCACAGCAGCAAGGGCCCGGGAGAGCCGAGTGGCTGCTACCCCTGACGTGGCAGTGATGACCACGGGACTGTGTGTGTGTGGGTGGGTGGCTGCATCTGAGTTCCTGGAGCTTTTTTTTTTTTTTTTTTGGCCACATGGCTTGTGGGATCTTAGTTCTCTGGCCAGGGATTGAACCTGGGCCCTTGGCAGTGAGAGTGAGGAGTTCTAACCACTGTGGCCAGGGAATTTCCTCCTGGAACTGTTATGGAAAGTAAATGACAAACTCTTTAACCTCTCAGCTTAAGTCACGGTTGGAAAGCCAGAGAGATTCTACAGAGCCCTAAAATAATCCTTTATTTCTTGCAGCTATAGGTTTTCGACCTTGCTGAAAATCATAGCCCAGATTTAATTGGTCAGGTTGCAGAATTACAACATAAATGGAATCCATAGATTTTCCAGAATCTCAGGCAGTACATTTAGATATTTACTTTGTCTGGCTGAGAGATGACCAGAAGCACAGATGTACACTGACCCCTGGGGAGTGGGTGGCCAGGAACAGATACAGCAGAACCGAATTTCATGAGAAGGAGGTGTGGGGAGGGGTGATGTGGATGCCTCCCAGGATGAGCTCAGTGTGGAGATATTTCCAGTGTCCCATGTGAATGCCCACCCAAGGGCATCAGTGACTCAGTAACAATCCACTGGACAGGGTGACAAATTCTGGGCCAGCCCTGCCATTGCTTGTACACTGAGTTTACTTAAAAGTGTTCATGGTAGCAGGTGTGGAAGCTCTGCGTGGACCCAAGAACATGGACTTCCCCTCATCAAGCTGACCTGGCCCCTGCCGCTGCCTAAAGTGACAACGGTGGAGACCAACACTAAAACCCCAATACGGCACCATTCCCTGCGCGGAGGGGGGCCTGGAACCAATGTTAGAGACCTGCCAATGTGATCTTTAGTTGTATAAAGGCACAAAATAGAACTTAGAGGCTTAAAAAAAAATAACTGAAATGAAAAACTCCTGGAATAGGTTTATCGGCAGTCTAAGGGAAAATTACTGACTGGAAGAGAGATCTGAAGAAATATCCACAATACGGGACACAGAAATGAGAGATGAAGCTATGACAGAGATGCAAAGAGACACGGAGAACGGTGATTTTATGTCACCTTTGGGAAACAACCTGCAGTTTGAAAAATACTCGTTGAATAAACTACTAGTCAGACTTCTGGGAGAAAAGAGTGAGAGGATGGGCTAAAGTAACATTTAAAAGAGACATTGTCACACATGCTCCAACATGGTTGAATCTTGAAGACATTATGCTAAGTGAAATAAGCCAGACACAAAAGGACAAATACTGTACAATTCCACTTACTTAGAGCAGTCACATTCATAGAGACTGAAAGTAGAATGGTGATTACCAGGGGCTGTGGGGAGGGGGAATAAGGACTTATTGTTTTTTGGGTATGGAGTTCTAGTTGCAAGATGAAAAGAGTTCTGGAGACAGATGGTGGTCATGGTTGCACAATAATGCGAATGTATTCAATATCATTGAACTGTACAGTTAAAATGACTAAGATAGTAAATTATATGCTATGTGTATTTACAACAATTTAAAAAATTTAAAAAATGTTGTTTGAGAATTTTCCAGAACCATGAAAGATACAAGTCAACAAATTCAGAAACCCTCGGGAATTCAAGCAGGATAAATGCTATAGACCGAACATTTGTATCCTCCCCAAAATTCATATGCCGAAACCCAATTCCTGAATGATGGTATTAAGGACCTGTGGTCTTTGGGGTGATAAGGTCATGAGCGGGGAGACCTCATGAATAGGATTAGTGCCCTTATAAAAGAGACCCCAGAGAGCAAGAAAATAGCTGACTATGAACCGAAAGTGGGCTCTTGCCTGGCACAGAATTTGCTGGTGCTTTGATCTTGAATTTCCCAGGCTCCAGAACTGTGAGAAATAAATGTCGTTATTTAAGCCATCCAGTCTATATGGTATTTTGTTAAAGCAGCCTGAATGGGCTAAGACAATAAATTAAAACATACATCGTGATAAAACTGCAGAACCCCAGAACAACAGGAAAAAACTTTTTATTTTTTATATTTTAAAAAATTTATTTATTTTATTTATTTATTTTGTGGCTGCGTTGGGTCTTTGTTGCTGCACGCGGGCTTTCTCTAGTTGCGGCAAGTGAGGGCTACTCTTAGTTGCGGTACACGGGCTTCTCATTGTCATGGCTTTTCTTGTCGCAGAGCATGGGCTCTCTAGGTGCTCAGGCTTCAGTAGTTGTGCCTCATGGGCTCTAGAGCGCAGGCTCAGTAGTTGTGGCGCATGGGCTTAGTTGCTCCGCGGCATGTGGAACCTTCCCAGACCAGGTCTTGAACCCGTGTCCCCTGCATTAGCAGGTGGATTCTTAACCACTGAGCCACCAGGGAAGCCCAAAACAGATTATTTTTGAAGGAATAATGAGGAGATTGTCACCTGAAACCTCAGCAGTAACAACGAAAGCTGGAAGTCAGTGGCGGCATCCTCACAGCCCTGAGAGAGAACAATTGTCCCTCTAGTAAACCAGCCCAAATATCTTGCAAGAACAAGGGAAAAATAAAGTAGTTTTCAGATGAACAAAACCCGATAGCATTTGCTCCAACAAACTCACTGAAATAGAGTTTAAAGGCTCTACTTCAGGCACGAGGAAAGTGATCCTGGTTGTAAGTTCTGAGATGCAAGAAGAAAAGATGAGCAAAGAAACTGGTAACTGTGTGGTTGTGTCTAAACTAACATTGACTATATAAACAATTTAGTAATGACTCACTGGTGAAAAAGGAAAAGATTAAAATATACTATAATTAAGGCATATAATTTAGGGGATGGGTGATTAAAGTATGCCTAAGTGCTTTTATTTTCAGGGAGCAAAGTAAAGCGTAATCACTAAAACAACATAAATAGAGTATATAAGAGGAAGAAAAGTGGAATGAGGAAAAAAAAAATCAGCCCTAAAGAAGCAAAAAGGAAAGTAAAAACAGTCATGACAAATAGAAGGCACAAAATAAGGCTGCAGAAATAAATCCATATATATCATAAACATAATAAGTATAAATCAACCAAATGCTGTAGTTAAAAGACAAAGATTATCTTTAAAAAAACCTTTTTATTATGAAGAATTCCAAGCATACTGAAAAGTGGGAAAAATAGTACAAAGAATCCCCATATGCCTGCCATGTAGGGTCAGTGTTAGCTATTTGCTGTGTTTCATCTATATATGAAAAGGAGAATATTAATACATATTTTATGTAGTAAACATTACATAACGAAGTAAAATTTAAATGTCAATAATGAGGTGAAGTGTTCACTTTTGAGGCCAAGCAGATATGGGGTCTCAGTAACTTTTATTTATTTATTTATTTATTTACGGCTCTGTCAGGTCTTTGTTGCTTGCGGGGAGCAGGGGCTACTCTTCATTGCAGTGCATGGGCTTCTCATTGCAGTGGCTTCTCTTGTTGCAGAGCATGGGCTCTAGGCACGCAGGGTCAGTAGTTGTGGCTCGTGGGCTTCAGTGGTTGTGGCTCGTGGGCTCTAGAGCACTGGCTCTAGAGCACTGGCTCAGTAGTTGTGGCTCACCGGCTTAGTTGCTCTGCGGCACGTGGGATCTTCCCGGCCCAGGGCGCCAACCCGTGTCCCCTGCATTGGTAGGCGAATTCTTAACCACTGTACCACCAGGGAAGTCCAGGGGTCTCAGTGATTTTTAATCATGTACTTTTTTTGTGCAGTTATTTATTCAAAGGCTGCCTCTCCTATGGGCTCTAGTGAGAGGGTAGGAACCAGGTCAATATTTCTGATCATTGTATTTCTAAATATTTGTTGCATTTAGTAGCACAAGATTCAGCACAGTGCTTGTTTACATAGTAAACATTTAATGTAGAGTAGCTTTGATTTATTATAATTGATGCTGTTGTTATCCAAAGCGTTCAGCAGAGTGGCACAAAATAAGCAAGCAATAATTGGTAGCTTACTAAATTTATATTTATTGTTTACCATAAGTCATCGTGCCTAGCACACATCATTCACCCATAAACATCATGTTTGTAATAAGAATAAATAGTACTTTCATTATTATTCAAAATCTCTAAGTGCCTGGCACCACATTAGCAGGGGAAAGTGGAATTTCATTCTTATTAATTATTATTATTGAGTAAAGCACTTAACACAAAGCCTGGCCCCCACGGACCCTGAAAAAATAATCTTCAGAGGTACAGTCCTCAATTCTGGGCGTCCCCCACCCGCCCCTCCCCCGGACCTGCGCAACGCCCCACCCCCTGCCGTCCAGCAGCCCCGCCCCCGCGGCAAGCGCCGCGCCTGCGCACTGCCCGATAGGGGGGGGCTCGGCGCGCTCAGCTCTCCACCGCCCGAGCGCGCGCCGGGCCGTGGCGGCCGGCCTGCTGCGTGCGTGCGTGCGTCTCTGCGTGCGTGCGTGCGTGCGTGCCGTGCGCTCGCTGGGCACCGCGGCCTCGCCCTCGCCCTCCGCCCCTGCGCCTGCACCGCGTAGGCCGACCCCCGGCGCGCACCCCGTAGGCGACCCCCGGCCGCGCCCCGGCTGGCCCCCCCATTCCAAATTTAAAGGGGGCGCAGCATTCACGCCTCCCGCCCCAGGTGACCTCTCAGGGGTCTCCCCGCCCGAGGTGTTCCGCCGCCGAGGAACATGGCGAAGGTGGAGCAGGTCCTGAGCCTCGAGCCGCAACACGAGCTCAAATTCCGAGGTAAGCCCGGAGGCCCGCCGCCCCGCGCCCCCGCTCCGGGCCGCGTTCCGGAGGGCCCGGCGGCGCGGTGGTGACGTCGGCCCCCCGGCCGCGGCGCCCTCCCGCCCGCGCGCCCGCGCTCCCCGGGCCCCTAGGGCCAGGCGTCCGGCGCGGGAGTCCAGGGCCTGCTCCTCCGCAGCCTCCCGCGCCTCGCCCTCAAGACAGTCGCCCCGTTGCCGCTGTGGCCGTTCCTGTCCCGAATGCGGCCTCTTCACTGAGCGTGGGCCCCGGCGGCCGCCTGTGCCGAGGAGGCTCAGGTCGTGGGTCACAGGTCGCCTCTCGCTGGCCGGCCACCCCGCCGTAGACACCTGCGGCCGTCCCCTGTCGCGAACTGCTCGTGGCAGTTCGGCACTTAGCGCTCCCTGAAAGGACCACTTTACGCACTTGTGTACCATGTCTGTATGTTAGGAGGGAAGCTCCATGAGGACAGGACTTGGTCACGTCTCTGCTTTATGCCCCGCACGCCTTAGGAGCCTAATAAGTACCTGTTAAGCAAATGAACGAAAGGCACGTCCGCAGAAGTTCCCACGGGATGCGTGGCCCAGCTTTCCTTCTCCTGCCTTTTTCGTGCCCGTTGCTCATGTCTCTGCAGCCGTGCGGGGCTGTCAGGGTGGCGAGATCTTTTTTGTCCCCGGAGGCGCCTGGGACTGGAGCCCGAGGAAGCCCAGGGGGCCACATGTGTTTGTGGCGAGCCAGAGCCCCTTGAAATGTGTACCTTTATTTTTAATCTTTTCCCCTTACCTTCTCCAGCAAAATATCAGAGCCGGGGGATTTCATCTGACTTGGTCATTCCTTCTTTCCAAAGGGACTGAGTAACTGTGTAGCAGACATTGCTTGGCCCTTGAGAGATGTGAATGGGCAAGACAGACAAGACCCCCTGCTCTCATGAAGTTTACCTTGTAGGGAGGGGCGACGAGCCAGCACATGAGAGTGTTTCGGGTAGTGGTAAGTTCTGTGAAGGAAATAAGACAGGCTGGCATGATGAGACTATGCTTGCATTGGACGGCCAGGTCACCGCTGTGTCGCCAGCACTTGGCCTAGGGTAGCTGCTTGATTCATGTTTGTGGCATTGGAATGCCTGCTGGCCACAAGGCACCCCACTTTAAATGTACCGGCAGGAGGTAGTGTCCGGTAACTGACCCAAAGTTACTCAGTTGGCAAATGGCACATTTGAACCCAGATTTCAGAGTTCACACTTGAACGGTTATGCTATCCGACCCCTGGGAAATACTCCAGTGCTGTGGCTGTCACTTAGCCTCCCAGGTTAACAGTCTCTAGATTGTCACATTTGGAAGTGACTCCAAATGTATAAACTACTGAAGGTTTTCCAGTTAAAACTAACAAACACCCCAAAAACCTAACGTGGATTATAATTCCACAACCGTGCTATAGCTTATGTGATGTTCTCATCGCCCGCCTGAGAAAGGAATCCAGGTAACTCAATTGGACGTGGAGGGTGATGGTTTCCACTTGAGTTGTCTGAAGTTCTCTACCCTGGAAGCCTGGCTTAGCTACTCCTGGGAATTGGCACGTTCATTCATTTAGTCCACAGACATTTCAGTGCCTGCTCCATGTGTCAGGTACCAGGGAAAGATGAGTCACATCACATGTAGACCCCTGCTGTCCCTCAACCCCCCCCCCACCCCAGAACTTAGGTCTAGGGAAGAGAGCAGATGACAGAATCAGCCAGAACAGTGCAGTGATACAAGGTAATCCAGAGTAATCTTGAGAGCACTAAGGAGGTCAGCTCCGGAAGGAGGTGTCATTTGAGCAGAGTTTAAAGGTCGAATGGAGGCAGGTGAAAAGAAGAAATGATTGGGGAGCCTGTCAGGTGGAGGAAATTGCACGTACAGAGGCACGAAGACTGAGATGATTGGGCTCCTTTGGGATGCCAGCAGTATTTCGGAATGACAGTGACAGAGCATTTGTTGGGGTCACGAGACAAAGGAGGAGATGAGGCTGTCTAGTAGGCAGGAGCCAGTTCGTCTAAGGCCTCCGTGCACAGGCACAGCCAGTGTCCAAGGTCATATTGTGTTGTGTCTCCTCGGCTAGTTCTTCCTTGATTGATCCCCTGCAACCTCAACCCCACCCCTAGTACATACACTGTCCTCTAATATGATGTCATAGAAAGAGGCACTAATTGGAGAAAAGTAAAGTTTTTGTCCCAGTTGTTTTACTTAGTGATATTTGACCTTGGGCTGGCCACTTTGCTCCCCAAAGCCTGGGATTACTCTTTACTCCATGGGAATGGCGCTCATATCTCCCTTGCCTCGTGTAGAAAGTTTTGTTGGTATTATGGCTGTTCAGCTGCTTTGTAAATGTGCAATATTAGGCAGAGATTGGTTGTATTTACACCACTGGTTTCATCATTGCAACTTCTTTACCTGAAAGGTATGGCAAAGAAGAGTGATCTGTCTCTGGCCCAGGGTTGACCAAAGTAATGATGGCCAGAGTCGCTGGATATTTTTGCTAGGGAAGTGATCCGGGAAAGTTATGGTGTCAGATTGTTGAAGGCTGTTGGCTTGTGGCTTCAGAAGAGGTACCTGCAGGCATATGTAAACCACCTAATTATTTGTTTGTTGGTTAGTTTTAAACTGAGGACTAAGATTGTGAAATCAGAATAGAGGCTCAGTACCCTGTTTTGCTGTATAGACAGCATTCGTTTCAGGATGCAAACTGGCACATTTAACTGGTGTCTTCCAGATGACTTGGGGTGATGATTCTGACTTCATACGGTTCACTTAGATGAATCAAACTCGTAAGCTAACTTTGCTTAAGAAGATAATAATTAAAATGCTTGTCATCCAGAGGAAAAAAATTAGTCATCTTTTAAGTGCAGCCTAAAATGATACGGGGTTGTATATGTTGGATTTCTTTTCCTCTTGGGCATTTTGTGTGAGTCTTTTGAAGTTAAGGATGTTGCAGAAGAAAAGAGGACACAGACTTACAAGACCTCGTTCAGTCTTACTTTTTTTTTTTTTTTTTTGTGGTACGCGGGCCTCTCACCGCTGCGGCCTCTCCCGTTGCGGAGCACAGGCTCCGGACGCGCAGGCTCAGCGGCCATGGCTCACGGGCCCAGCGGCTCCGCGGCATGTGGGATTCTCCCGGACCGGGGCACGAACCCGCGTCCCCTGCATCTGCATCGGCAGGCGGACTCTCAACCACTGCGCCGCCAGGGAAGCCCTCGTTCAGTCTTACAGAAAGTGCCATGCTGCACTGTGTTGAGTGTCAAAAGGAGAAAGATTCCTGGCCTCCTGAAAGAAGCACGACACTGTGGCATTTGCCTTGGTGAAACAGTAGGACCCGTTTGGATCGGGGACGCCTGTCTGAGCGAGTTAAGGGCTCTAATACTTGTGAGACGTGTGCTTTGCATTGATGCTCTTTCTGTTGCTCTGACCTCTTCCGAGGCCACATCATTTTCTTTTTCACTCTGAGGTCCCACTTCTTGCCCAGCTCAATGGGAGCTTTTTGAATGAGTCGCTTTCAGGGCATTTTGTATCTCTTTTTTTCTCCTCCCCTCCCCCTACCATTGATTCCATCCATGGTAAGTAGTATGTCTTGTGTTTTCTTGGTCATTGCACAGCACTCTTAATCCTTCTCACGTTCTAGCATATTCTCCCCCATCTCGTGATAGTGTCACCTGAGAATGGCCAGTTACCCGTCCTCATGAGCTGATTAGTTAAGATTTAAACCTGCTGTGGACCCATTACTTTCGCTGTATTGTGTGACTAAACCAGTGGCCTTCTAGAAGTCTCAGGTAGTCCTGCTGTTGGTCGGTGTGGGTCACAGGTGGGGTAGCACCACTGGATTGGTGTGGTTGATTACCACTTTGGGGTGGAAATAGGAACTTGGCTAGATAGGTTAGGGACAGTCTCTTTTATATAAGGAAAGCGTGCTTAGAATCATTAGTTCACCCTCTTAAGTTAACGTGTAGTTTAGTATTGAGGAAGCTAAAAAATATAACACCTCGTAGATATAGTCTGTTCAATGCAGTAATTATCTTTCAGATGCTAATTACAGCATTAATTCTCTCGTTTTAGCATAGCACTGATTTCCTTAACATTTCATGATCACATAGAGCAGACTGTGTTTTACAGCACAACAGAATGTCAGCAGTGTGCTTAAGATTCTCTATGGTAGTGGTTTAAATCCATCCTGAATAGATCATCTGTATTTATTTAATTATTAACCAGCTTGCTTATAAGGAGCAAGTGGCATTAAACTTACCAACTTTAGTCAAACTTAGATCTTCATAGATTGTGTTATTTGTGAAGTAGAAGTTAACTTACTTTACCCACTTATTTACTTCTCTTCTTCACAGTTAACTCCTTAAGGAAGAAATGGATAGTTCTCGGCTGTGTGCTTACATGGTGATAGTTCCTTGTGTGTGGTCGTAACATGAACACAGTTTTCTTCATAATAAACCTGGTAGCTTTGCTTCCAGGTGTGGATTTATTAAAATAATGAGTCTGAATTGATGCTTATTAAAGAGGTGAACTCTTAAACATTATTAACACTGTCTTTTATTTATTAAAATTATATATTAGCATCTTTCCTTCCAGTGCTGAAGGCAAAATACTGAGAACTTTGACCCTGTAACATTGCCACTAAGTTGCTGAAAATTAGGGGAGGAATCAAGGGAGTAAACTACATTGGTTGTACTCAAACACTACCCTTAGGCTTGATTTTTAGAACCTGAAACTTGAATTTTTACATAAGGAATTATCTCCAAGATTGCTTCATATATCTCCCACTTGTATTTGAACAATTTGCCGTCTGAAGGATGACCATGGTTTGGAACAAATGAGCATAGCTTTCAGCAAGATGACAAGAAAGACCAACACAAAGAGTGCTGAGTTCCATTAGTCAAGACAAGGTTGCCATTGAGTGTCTTTAATAAAATAAAAGCCTTCTGAGCAGTTATTTTGCACTGGGGATTGTGTTAAAAACAAAGTTGCATT